ATACGTTCGCTGTGATTTAATGAATTTAGCGTTAATTAGTAAAAAAATAAAAACAATCATTTTCGTCTCGATCACTGAGTCTGGGAGCGGCCATTTTTGCCCAAATATAGTAGCCCCTCCCCCCTGCCATCTTCCAGCAGTGACGTCACGGTGCGGTAAGCCTAGCGCCATTCTCCCCGCTTTCCAAGCTAAATCAATGGGAACTACTAGACACATCTGCAATCAACAACAATTATTGAAGATTTCCAGAGGACTTCACCATTGAAATTCACCAGAGCTATAGTGAAACTGACAATGCCCACGTGCATGGCAGCTGGATGCTGGAATACATCGGGTAAAAGTGAATAAAAGAGTTATTCCACCTTTCTGATTCCTGATCCTCCACGGACGGGTTGGTCGTTGGATCGCCAACTTGAAGAGGGAGGATTTGCCATCGAACTTCTGGCCAGAGAAAAAACCCGTAATATGTAGCCAACATTTGGACGAAGAATGTTTTCAAGATGACTTGGATAATAGCGCGTTGTGACAAACACCAGATACAGCACTGGGACTTGATCAACAGCCGATACCGCACCGTGACAATGTCACTAACCAGTAGGTGGCAGTAGTGTTCTTTGACAAACATGGATGCCTCCAGTAAAGCACATTCACATGAAAATGACTCTGAATTAAAAACACTGATCATTTATTGAACAGGATGGAATCATTTCACATTTAAAGAACTTTCAGGAGTTTTTATTCTGAATATGAGCGACTTTTTCTTTAAAGAGTTTTGTCATTTAGTGGAGCTTGTGTGTTTATTGTTTTTCATCCGTCAGATTTATTGGAAGTGAACGGTTGCTTTGGGACAGGAGTTGAGTCTGATCTTTTAGTCTCACACGTCTTTATCCGGGTGGAAAACATCAAACAGGAAGAGTCGTTTTTTTTTTGTTATTTTGATCCTGCTGCCTTGTTCTTCCAACAATGCTTTTATTGTTTGTTTTTCTTACAGGATTGAATTAATCTGTAATAATCAAAGATCCTCAGGATGACTGTGTAAGTCAGCTGCAGTCTAAGCTTCATGGCATTTCCTGCCTTACTCTCTAACAGAGCTGTTACTCAGAGGCAGACTCCTGTCAACTTAGATGCTCTTCAAGCTAATGGCTTCAAATTCCCTTTGGCAGAACTTTTTATAGCAGCACTGGTTGTAATGCTGACAGCGTCAGTCACTTCAGTCCACTCTGGAAAATGTCAACATGGATTTTATGGGCTGTCAGAACTTTACACTGAGTGATGTTCTTCAGATTTTAAAATACACATCAGCCAAAGCCACCAGTAGACAGTCATGAGGAACGTTGGTCCCAGATGGTTTCAGGCGGTGGTTGAAGCAACCTGTCATATTCTTCTAAGGCTTCTTGTGGACCTAGAGTGGATCATAATATACAGCTAGCAGCAATCCCTCAGGAGGAGCAGCAGCAACCTGCAGACTGCAGCTCTGCTTTGACCTTATCTCAAACCCATAAAAGTCATGCTAGTTTGGTCAGAGGTGGGCGGGATTATTGTTAGGAGCCCATTTCTGTATTTACTGCGATCATTTTTAGAATTTGAGTAAAACGTCTTGATTAAATGTCATCTTTGAAACAGATGCATTTTCTTAACCAGTTAAAATTGTTTTCCACATTCAAATTCAGAATGATTCAGTCAGTGAACACTAATAATTTACATTGACCATCCATCCGTCCGTCCGTCGGTCTGTCGGTCGGTCCGTCCGTAAGTTGTCCGTTGGGAGAGCTGCAGTGGATCTTTTCTTCACCATGCAGGACCAACTCCTACTCTCCTCTCTTCTTTTCCATAACAAATCAGGATGCTCCACTAGGAGTAGATGCTCTAGCCTATTCATGGCCCAGGGTACTCCTTAATGCATTTCCTCCTTTAGAAATGATATACATATATATATATAATCTTTCAGTCTGACCTCCTGATTACTCCTAAAACAGTTAATACCTACAACTCTTTTGAACATTTAACCCTTAATTTCCCTGATCCAAATTTCAAGGCAAGAAAACCTCTTCTTTTTGTAACTTTGTATCGTCCACCAGGTCCTTACTCTGAATTTGTAGATGAGTTTTCAGAGTTCCTTTCTGATTTGGTATTAAATACTGACAGGGTCATCATAGTGGGAGATTTTAACATCCATGCTGACATTGAAGGCGATAGCTTAAGAGCAGCCTTTAATGCTATCTTAGACACTATTGGCTTTGTTCAAAATGTGAATAGTCCCACGCATTCTCATCTTCATACTTTGGATCTGGGGATGTGAAAATTTAAATAGCTTGAAGGAGTTGCCTCATTTATGCTCACATAATCCTCTTGCTGCAGCCAGGTTTCTGTAAGGCAACACAAGTCAATGTGATTATCACAAATCAAGTCATTAACTAGTAGACTTTTAGAGGAAAGAGATCTCATGTTAAACAGACCGCATTTAATTGTTTTAACTTTTCCCCCAATTGGAGTTATTTTGATTTTAATTAGATTATCATGATTTACTCCTTTGGGAATCTTTTCTAATTAATTAGATTTTGGTCGTGGGCAAGACACTGTCTGGATGGAGTAAAGAGTGGGTAACAGTAGAGAAGCTGCAGAGATGTGTGTTAAACTAAAACTCTGCTTCCTGGTCTGCACCCTGGGGGGTCAGAGTTTTGGAGGACTAATAAATGTGGCCAGATTTCTAGAAAGAAGAGCTGCACCATCCAAAGTGGGATGGATGCCGTCTCTCCGAATCAGACCAGGCTTTCCCCAAAAGGATTGCCAATTATTAATGTAGCCCACGTTGTTTTCAGGACACCACCTAGACAACCAGCGGTTGTATGATTAGCATAGAAACGTGAACGGGTTGGTGGTGACCAGTGTGCAGAGATCCGTGACTACGCTTTCTGCGTACAGTTACCCAATCGCCTGGCTGCTCAGGCACTTTTGGAGGACAGCTACGTGGGGGGCCTACTTTAACTCCTGGATGTTCAACAGCCTGAAGCCTGGATTCTAACTCTGACACCCTCGCCTCCAAAGCTACTAAAATACTACACTTATTACACATCCCATTATCACTAAAGGAGGCAGAGGAATAACTGAACATCTGACACGGAGAGCAGGAGAGAGGAGAGGAAGAAGGAAGAGTTGGAAAAGAGTCAGGGGAGGGAGAGAGAGAAGCCATAGCAATGCTAAGCTAGCGCTAGCCTAGGCTAGCTACTCCTTACTATCAGAAATAAAACCGTGTGAAACTGACAAGTAGAAAAGTAGTAACAGTAGAAAAGTGCAGCAGAATGCGGTATGTTTTAAAGTGGTTCTGGTCAGTTAGAGTTACTGAGATACAGAGATATCACAGAAAAATAAGAAATTAATTCAGACGGAGATAAACTGTACAGCTATAACACTGCTCACTGGTCCAAACAGGAAGTGAACATGATACGTCTCACCAACAGCAGCAGTAGCTCCCTCCAGTGAATTTATATTCCCCTTATAAATTCATATTCATAATTCCTAATGCAGTGAATCCCAACCTGGGGTACTCGTACCCCTAGTGGTCTGCGAGAGCATTGCTAGGGGTACCTGAAAATACATTATTTATTAGGTACTAAATTAAAATAGGGCTGGGATCTCTTCATGGTTTTGAGGGACCAATTAAAAATTAAACAAGCTTTTATAAACCAAACAGTGATTTATTCTTTGAGTTCACCTTAAGCTGTGACAAACATCCAAACCAAGCAGAGGAACAGACTGGATGTAGAGAACAGCCTGGGATCAGCTGGTTTTCACACTGAGCTATCAGAGCTCATTAAAGCAGCTCAGGTGTCTGGATCAAATCAAACTAGTACAATCTATAATGTCCAACTACTCTTCGATACCATGTGCAATAACCTGTTTCATTATATTTGACACCCAGTGCGATGACTATATATATAAATATAAATATCCATCTATGTATATATATATATATATATATATATATATATATACCCATGTTAACACCCTGTGCAGTAACCCTGTTTAATGATCCTACTAAAAAGAAACTATTTGAGCTGATGGAACGAGTACATTTCTCCACTTTGTGGTCAATTAAATTAATCAATCAATCAATCAATCAATCAATCAATCAATCAATCAATCAATCAAAAACTAATTAAGTCATTCTGACTAATTTTTGTTCCCAATCCATCAAGTTTAAATTTGATTAAGAGAGTTACTCAGAGGGGCTCCAGTTTTATAAATACAGGATATGATTTTATTTTGTATTTATTGTGATTCCTTACTAACTTCCAGGCAACATATTTATGTTGTTTTTATTTGAGATAGAAAGAATAAAATGCCTAAGATGAATAAAGATGAAATTAAATTTTATTTCATATTGAGTTGTTGTACGGTCATCACTATTTCTGACTGAGGGGAACTCATGCTAAGAAAGGTCAGAAAACTCAGATCTTAAAGTAAAAGTTTTTGATACTTTAACATGTTTTATTCCACTAAAATAGTTTTTCTACTCTAAAATATATTATATTTCTCTTATGAAATCTATTATTGAATGTATATTCTACTGTCATTGGTTTTAATCCCTTTCATATCTTGTTGAAAAATCAAACACTGATGTCTTTGAGGTTACATGAGGAAATGAATCCTTTTTTCTGTGAGTTGATCGGTTGAAGCATCCAGAGATCATTATTTCCATTCCTGTTTGTTCCTTCATGCCCAGAAACATGGAGTCTCTAGGGGTCCCACAGCTTCACACTCGGCACAGATTCTGCTTTATGTTACGTCTGCTGTCCTTTTCCACCTCAGTCACAGAAAGTTAAACAAAATGCTCATTTTTCCTGTTTTTAGTGTAAAAAGATGAGATTATTAAGAGATAGGAGGCGTTTGTCAAACTCTGGTTTCTATCTGCTTTATTCATCGGTAACCAACATGTTTCTAAAGGCAGTGACGTCTGACGTTTCCAGAACAGGATTGATTTTCTGCTTGTTTCCTTCCAGGTCTCAGCCCAGCATGATCAGATCCCTCCACCCAGCAGCCTCTGTGGTGCGAGGAGCGTGCGGCCCAGCAGCCACCATGTCATGTGTGTAGAGGATCGGTGGCGGCCCCAGGCGGGATGCTGCTGGAAGCTGGTCAGTATGAATCTGCTGGACTTGTGGCTGTCGCGCTCCATCCCCATGTGCCTGCTGCTTCAGAGCCTCGTCCTCATGGCCCTGTGCTTCCCCTCGGCCAGCATGTGTCCCAAAGGCTGCAGCTGTCTGCGCGACCCCCACCTCCACGGCCTCAACGTCACCTGCAGCCAGTCCCGCCTCAAAGAGATTCCCCCCAACCTGCCCATGGACACCGTCCTCCTGCGGCTGGAACACAACCAAATAGGCGCTGTGCCTGACCAAGCCTTCCGGGGGCTGCGTCTGCTGAGGGAGCTTAACCTCTCCTATAATGCGGTGGAAACTTTAGGGGAGGGTTCCTTCAGTGGCATAGAGGGGACCCTGCAGGTGCTGGACCTTTCCCACAACCGCATCACTAGCGTTCACAGGGATGCTTTCGCCCGGCTGAAGGCCCGCATCATCGTGGACGATAACCCCTGGCACTGTGACTGCGCCCTTCAGCAGGCCATCGGCGGAATGGCTCACAACCACGAGGCCGCTGCCAGGCTCCTCTGCAGGAGCTCAGAGCTTCTGGATCAGGAGGGCCGGCCCTTCTTGGCTGTGGACACTGACCTCTGTAACCTGGCCAAAAGGACCACAGACTACGCCATGCTGGTCACCATGTTCGGTTGGTTCGCCATGGTCATATCGTACGTGGTTTACTACGTCCGTCAGAACCAGGAGGACGCCCGCCGTCACCTGGAGTACCTCAAGTCTCTCCCAAGCAAGCCCAAGAAACCCGATGATGCTGATGACATAAGCACTGTTGCCTGACAGCAGCAGCGTTGCCGTGACGCTCCGTCGGACTCCGTGAAATGTTTACGCTACAGGACCCACATTTATATAGACTACTGGTTTAAGTCTTCGCCTCTGTTGGCATCCAGAGGTCTGAACTATCGTTGTACGTCTTTAACAGGCTGAGTTTGTGTTTGAAGTGAAATCAGGCGAGAAATGAAGTACGGACCGCAGCATCTTCAAACCACAGCGTTCTGAAAATCTCAGGTTCAAACAGCGAAACGCTTTTTAAATGATGACTGGAAATATTTGGGAAATGAAAACGTTTAGTTATTAAACCAGAAGAGAAACTTAAAAACAGTTTATGTTTGAGCAACACAGTGTTTTAAAAAGTTTCTATCCTTAATTCACTACTTTTAACTAGTAAAATCCTAAACCTTACCAAGCAGATTCCTGCCAGAGAGAGAAGACGGAATGCTTTAGTTGGTGTTTGTGTTTTTCATGGACAGCGGACGTAGTTCTGATGTGAAACAGATGCTGTGATGCTTTGCCTTCTTACAGATTAGACTTTTTGTGTCACATAATATTTCTGTTCTTCCAGCATTAATACAAAAAGCTTTAAGTTATCATTTAATGCGTTGAAGCTATTTAAACCGGCTTCAACCAGCGATCTAAAATCACTGCAGAGTGGTGAACATCTCTGCTTTGCACCAATCTTTTCATTTGAACATATTTTCGGGATGACCTGCCTGATTAAGATCATCCCACAGCGTCTCAGTTGGGTTTATTTCTGCAATTCGGCAACATTCACACAGATTCACACTGACAGATTCAGTCTCAGGACACCAAAGCAACCTGCAGGGAGAAGCAGACGTCGCAGAGCAGATCCATGTTTAGGGAACTAATCACTGTTAATAGTTGTGTTCGATAAAGATCCCCTGAAATAAACAGCAGTCAACGTGGATGCATGACTGACCGCGTCATAGAACACTGAAGGTAGGACAGAAAAACCAGAGCATCCGCCGTCAGTGGAGCAGCCAGCCATGCTGCAGCAGGGAGTCTGTGGCGTTCAGGGACATGGTGGAAAACGCAGACTTAGTTTTAGCTGAGGTTGTTCAGAGTCAGATTTGGGCTTTTGACTCTGCTTCTCCACGATCTTCATTCAGTCCCCGGGTGATGGTCTGATGTTCTCCTTCAGAAATTCCTCTCAGGGCGGCAGACACTCCTGGGAACGTTCTTCACCTTTCCATACGTTCCCTCATGGGTTCTCTGAAGTTCCCACAGTGTCTGTAACTCTTCCCAGACTGATTCCCATCAGTAAGCCTGTTCATCTGCTCTTGAATTAAACTGAAGCCTGATTTCCAATGTTATACAATGTAATTACAAGGATAACGAAGGGTTTTCCATTCTATGCTCATATTCTATGATATCTGTGAAGATCCTCAGTCATCCAGGTCATGGTCAAGCTTCAGTCTAGGCAACTGGACGTGAAGTTTTCTACAACACGTCTGTCCTCTCATCCAATAGGCTTCTTCGGTTCTAAGTAGTGGTGGGAAGCACTGAGATTAGTATTCTGTAGATTACTGAGATTAATATATTTTAGGTGGAACAAAGAGTTTTAAAACCTGCTGATGAAAAATATTGGATTGTATTTTCTGGTTCTTGCAGTTTTTACCAAACCTTAAAAACTCTATTCACTTCCAGCCGCTACGAGCGGCAGCAGGAAATCCCCCACAGGCTGGCTTTCAGCGGGGATTCCCAGCACTGCCTCCCGGCGGGATGCTGCAGGTCTGGAGCTCCCAGTAAGAACTGCAGATTATAGTGGGATCATAATTCTGATTAACTGATGAAGAGAGGATGTTTAGAGGTGAACTTGCTCTTAAAGTAAATAAAGCCAAGCTGCTCTCTAGCTGGAAGCTACAGAACAGATAAATAACTGGACCACAGTCTGAGTTGTGGACTACGGTTTGTCCATTTTTGCACTAAAAACAAATTTGCTGTGAAAGCAGCATTAACGGTTATAGTGGGTTCTGACGGGTGGTTAACTCCCTCCTCAGAGTGGTTTCAGTCACCTGCCTCATTGAAGGGTGAGTCCGGTGGGGGCAGGTCAGAGGTGAATCTTCTGGGTATTGTTTCTAAAAGGTCTTTGGAAGTAGGTGAAAGGTTCTGTCCCAGACCATCTCCTCTGTTCTCCTCTCCTCTGTTCAATGACGGTTTTTCCAGGTTAACAAAGATGGCCGCCTTAACACCTCTCTCAAACCATCTGTCTTCCTTGGCCAGTGCTTGATTAGCATCCTTTAGCAGCTGTAGGTAAACAGCTGAGTCCTGTCCTGAGGAGTTAGCCCCCCCTGCATTGAGCCATGCTCCTGTGTAGCGGTTGCTTGGTCTCTCCAGTCTACAGGTCTGTGGTCTCTTCACTACACCGAACGGCGTAAACCACGCTGTCGGTCTTGTTTCTGGGCGTCTTGTCTTTGGGGTGAACCAGTTTCTGTCTCTGGTTGTTGAACGTTTGAAGAGTCCAGGGATCCGATGCTGGTTGAAAATCCTCCTGAGTTTTTCAGAGATTCCAGCAACATCTGGAATGACGATGTTCCTTCTTCTCTTCTCGTCCCTCTCAGCAGACCTCTTCTTATAGAAAACCCCATCTGGGATGTCCTGATATCCCCCTGTTCTCTAATCCTCCCTCTGTTAGTGGTGGGAATGGTTTCTGCTGGTGTCTGCAGGGTTTCAATGAGGTCTAGTTTGTGTTCCAGTCGGTGATGTGAGTCAAACGGAGGTACTGGTAGGTGTGTGTGGGTTTCCTGTAGACTTCTATGTGGAGTTTTCTGTCTTCCATGATCTGAACCACATAGTCCAGGAAGGCAAGGCTGACATCTTTTAAATCTTCTCAGGTGAACTGGATGTTTCTGTCCGCTGCATAGATGTTGTCTGTGAACATGTTAATATCCTTGGTCTTTATTTTGACCCATGTGTCATCCACGTATCTGAACCAATCACTGGGTTTTGTTCCCATGTGTGAGTGTAGAACTCTGCTTTCTACTTCTTCCATGTATAAGTTCACCACTATAGCAGACACAGGAGATACATCCATGCTTCTGCCTGTAGAAATTAGGGTTGAATTGGAAGTATGTGGTGGAGAGGCACAAGTCCAAGACAGAGCAGATGTGATCAGTGGTCAGGTTGGTCTGATGTGCTTCTTTTTGAGGTTGGTTAAATTACTTCCTCAGTTTAAATGAAATCTTTGACTTCTAATTAAAATTAAGGCATCATGACAGCCCAGCGCACCTGATGCATCATCACTGGATGTGTTGTCCAGAAAACATCCAGCTCCAGTTGAACCAGTGAACCCACTGCATTGCAATGAGAAAATGTTCATGGTCAGTAACTGAGCGGTTTCATTTTAATGTAGCGGCTCTAAACGGTGGAGGCTTTGGTTGAACTGAATGGGATAGAGAATTATTCCTGCACCACTCTTGTAATAAACCAGGTTGTCTTTCATGAGATGAATCCATGAACTTAGAACTGGAGAATGAATAAACTTCACAATTACTCCATTTGTATTTTTATATGTAAAGCATTATGAAGGACAGTTTAGCATAGAGCTAAGCAGCCTGCAGGACTGGACTGATTTAAGTGGATCTGGTATGCGTGCAGCACAGATATGGGTCCGTTAATGGTTCTTTTGCCAGGGCACCAGAGGGTTCGAGCAATGGAGACAGGAATCTAAGCACAAGGTCGTCTGACACCCCACGGCCGGCGAGTTAGCCTGCTCACTGGGTAGGGTTCAGTGCTGCTTAGGAAACCTCAGGTGAAGGGGCGCTTCCAGAAATTACTGAGAGGAATCAAGGTTTTCGGTTTGAAATATAGTTGAAAAGATCAGCAAATAAAAAATATAAAAACTAGCAAAAATACAAAATGACATGAGAAAAATGGAAAACTGAAACCAGAAAACAGCAGAAATTAACCAGCTGATGAAAGGAGTAGGATCTGGAACTCAGTGAGCTGGTGAACCGGAACTGGAAGTGAGAAGGGAAGTTCAGAAGTCAGTTCAAGGACCGTGGGAATCTTGGATGCTCTTAGAAAGTGCAGAAATGGGACTCACGTTTAAGGGGGGCCTGGTTAGTCCTTGAATCCAGTCTGTGTGTGTGATCCAGTGAAAAGAGCACACGATGGAGGGCGGACAGGTAGACAGGCGTTGGACCCGGAGGAGTAATGGAGCGGACTGTCACTCGGATTCCCGATGGGAACTTGAACGGAACATGTGGAGGTTTTCCCCTGCTCAGTGTGAACTCTGTATTTCCTTCCAGGGGGTGAAGGTCTAGGTATCCAGTAACACAGGAAAGCTTCCTGACGGAGAGCAAAAAGAAAAAACTCATTAGACTCATAGAAACAAAGCTAGGTTAGACTCAGCTAAACTCAGCTTGGCTAGATTACCCAAAACTGGAAAACACTCTGGCGTCGAGGTAGTGACAGCCCACTGCTCAAATACTCCTCCAGATAATGATCCAATGCAGGGAGGTACAGGGAAGACAGGGCACCTCCTGGTGGTGGAAAAAGGAAACACACAAACAGGATTCCTAACATCCATGGCTTTCTGAAGCAGGATGAACCCTCTCTACCCACAGCTGGACGCCACAGCGACCCGGCGCTGGAACCAGAGGCCAAGCTGAGCCGCTCCTGCCTCTGGTGCTGGTTCTGGACTGGTTAGCTGCTTTTCCATGAGGACCAGATCACGTTTAAATCAGCCCATTCCTTCTGAAGGGTTTCAGTCAGTTTCACCTGAGCAGGGATGTTATGGTTCCTGAATGTTCACACTGGGTTACATCATAATGAAGGCTGAGGTCAGAACCATGACGGTCGGATCATATATGTCGCATTTTATTACGTTCACTTGATTTTAGGGTCACACCTAAAAGCCGTCGAGTCTTCATTAATCTGGAACCTTCCAGCAGAGCATCGCCACGCTCCTCTCTGCGCAGAGTAAATGATGCCTCTGAAGATCTTCTAGTCATTCATGTCCTCCACTGTTTTAATGCTGAGGGCTGAGAAACGGACATTTTAACATATAAAGAACTTATTTTGATGAGGAAGCAGATTCTGTGTAAATTATTCCCTCCCTTTGAGGTGTTGCTCCTTCTGACATGAAAAAAAAACAACCTTTAGGGAGATGATGACCCCTGTGGGGAGGCTGGTGGACGTCCTCGTCCAAGATGTCCGTTAATGAAAAATGTAATTCAAAAACGATCAAATTTAATCTCGTTTTTTTTTTTTCTTTTTTTATGCCATAGATCATTAGACCAGTTTAGCAAACATCACCCTGCTATAAACTAAAAGTTTCTAGAAATGTGGTGATTTCAGGATTGAAAATGATAAGAAGCATCTTATCATCTTATGTGGCCAAATTAAGCAGGTTTTCAGCAAAGAATCAAAGAATTTCAGCTCCAATTCACATCATGTCATCTCAAAGCACTTTACAGTTCACCATTCAAAGTTTTCTATCTAAGGAAAACCTGCTGATTGCATCGAATCATTGACTCTTCAGCAATCCCTCACACTAAGCATGCCTGTAGCGACAGTGGAGAGGAAAAACTCCCTTTGAACAGGAACTGATTTTGGCAGACAAACTGCAGGGATCATGTGGAAACAGAACCAGGTCCATGAAAACCTCATTAAATCATCAGTGGCTTTCCAAGAACCAGTGTGTTAGATCTAAACCAGTCCAGCTACAGGCTCAACTTGCTGTTCAGGTCTTAATGAGCTTCCTCAGACTTTCATCAGAGTCTAATTAGGAGTCATGGGATCCGGTCTAACTGGTAGATGGTTGGTACTGCTCTAGGTCCAGGTTCAGGACCATGGAGAGGTTTCAGATTCAGAAGAAAGGAGCAAAGCATCTGATTGATCTTTCTGCAGTTGATTGATTGTAATTCAGTCCCAAAGAGAAGTTCAATGTCGTAGCAGGTGTCCACATCGTCGCCTTCTTTGTAGCTTTAGCAGAAGCGATCAGACTGTACTCAGCAGACTGCCAGGAGAAATGCAGCATCTGAAGCTTCCTGTAGAGGAACCAGCGGCTGCTGCAGGCAGGATGGTTCAGTCCAGCCGTTCTCTAAACGGACGTTAGGGTTCCACTTCTTCTTCCATGATGCAAACAGCGTTTGACGGATCACTGCAGCTTTGGTCCCCATGGAGAGACCACTGAGACCATGAGAACTTTGGT